AATTCTCCAGAGATGTCCTAAGCGACAGATAATAGTGCAGTATTCCATTGGCGATTTTGCAAGCACCACAGACTTCTTGTGTCAGCTCGCCCAGCGAATGGGCAAGTTAAAGAAAGGTGGTGTCCCTGATTCCAGAGGCGCCGCGCGGATAATTATCTCGGATTGGATCACGTAACTTTGCATTTTTTAAATTTATTTTTTGAGTGTTTATCATCTATGTCCCACCTGGGTTCCGAAAACTCATGACGTATGTGCAATCGTTTTCTTCTTTATTGTCACAACAAAATGCAGAATCGTTTCGGCTCCCAACCCACCACCAGCTGAGCCCCCCTCCCTGTACACGCGCGTGGAATAGTTGAAAATTTGTGTTAATTCGATCTCATGTTTAGGATTTTCGTAATTTGGTCATGATTTTCCAACGTGCCTTTTCTTAGCGGTTAGAGAGATCTTCATGAGATCAAACCTCATACCTGGCAATTATCAAGCTCCAGGCATTATTACTGTAATTTTTGCGTGTCAAGACTCAAGGCAACTTCCCGCCATCGAGTCTCATGTAGATAACGAATACAAAGTTTGTATTCTGTCCCTCATTCATTTAAGTGTTATTACTGAAATAAAGTGGCTTCACTAGAGTGGCTAAAGATGTCCTCATTTCCGATTTGTCGCCCGCTAAGGTATGCGGAAGACACTTGAAGTGTTAGTCTGCCGAAGTCAACAAACTCAACCTTGTTGAAAGAAGGATGCTAGTAGTGAATATTTTTTATGTTATTTTTTTCTACCGCTTGCAGTCAACGGGCGCAGTTAGCTGTGTGATGGACGTGTGTTTGGTTCCACTGTCGGTCTAGTCCGACAGTGGGGTCTTGTTGAACGCACCACCTACATGCATGCACAGAGGTAGCCTTGGGATGTTTGCTGGGAATCAGCCGTCCGTTATGCCGAATATTTTTTCTTCGACCACCCCCGTCCCTCCACACATCGCGTGCATTTTTCACCGGCTGGTTTCGATAAACTATGAACTTCTTTAAAATAGGGTTATATTTTCTACTGGTTGAAAGCAAGTAGGCGGTTATTTGTAGATGTCCTAGCTCACTCGCCGACGTCGGCTTTTGCCTCTGTTATTTCTGCGATTTGGAACTCGGTTGCTTCACGTGCTATGATATTTTTCAATGTGTCACTTATTGTCGGCATTTTCCAGTAGTTTCCTGTCAGTTACTGTAATAAAAAGCCACAAAATTATTATAATGGTAATCTCATCTTTTACTCTGTGATGTCAACTTTTCGCTTGGTTATCCTTTTAATTCGGCCTCTATTCCGGACATCTTTGAAGGATGGCAAAGGTATCTTATGTAGCCCCACTCATATACCCCTAGTCCCAGCATTTTGTCCTACAACAACGGTGGTTATAGTTTTGTGGGGTGGGGAAATAGAATAGGCAGAGAAAGTAAAGTGAAAAAATGTAGTCGAAGTTGCTTCCCGCGGCCGCTGGGAGCAGGATCCGCATGTAAATTGAAGGTGTGCGCGGCGCTTCGCGCCGCGGACTATACCAAATCTACCTCCAGAACGGTAAGTTGGACCAAATGTAAGTTGAAGTAGACTACCTCCTAACCACCATTTCAATTTTTCGGGAATTTCAAGAAACCTGCAATTT